GTGTGGTGGGGAGGAACGAGGCCTCCTGTCCCCAGGGCTTCCGGAGGCAAAACGGCTCCTGTGTGGGTGAGTGAGTGAGGGAGGGAGGGAGGGGCTGTGGGACCACCCCAAGGGCCCTCCTGGGCGAGGGCCTGCTTGGCTCTCCAGTTGCCGGAGGGTGGGGTGGGGGGCCCTCAAGTGGAGCTTTGGAGCTTCACCTTCCGCCCCCACCACAGAGGACAAGATGCAACTGCTCTTTGTCGTCCCCCCCCCCACGGTGCCCTCCGCCGCCATGACGTGTCTCCACGGTGCCCTCCACCCTCCTGCCCGTCTTCACACACACACACACGCACCAGACGTCGACGAGTGCCAGGAGAGGCGCTACTGCCGCAACGGGGACTGCACCAACACCCGGGGCAGCTTCGCCTGCGTTTGCCACGAGGGCTACATCCTGGACTCCTCTCGGAGCAGCTGCATCTGTGAGTGGGGCAAGGGGGCGGTGGGCTGGCATCCCTCTGTCCTCCCCCCCCCAAAAAAAGTGTCCTGCTCCCCCCCCCTTCCGGGGTCTGCTCAGTGGAATGGCCATGTCGGTTGTGGCACCCCTTTGGGGGGGGGGAGTCCTTCCCCCTCCCCCTGCGTGCACACCTGCCCGGTGGTGGCGTCTGAACCCCCATCCGGTGCCCGGCCAGGCTGAGTGAGTGCTGCCCCCTGGTGTCTGCTGGTGGTAGTGTGACCCAAAAAAGACCTTGGCCCGTGTGCCAGACCCCAAGCCGAGCTGTGGCGGAATTTGGGAGGAGGTTGGCCTTTCCCACCAGATACCCTTGCCCTGAACTTTGGCTGGCCTGCAGGACCGTGGGTGGAGGGGGAAGTGCTAGAGAAGCAGCCACGAGTCTTCCCCGAGACTGAGTGGCCAGGATAGCGAAACCGAATTAGCAGGACGCTTTTTGCCTGCCCTGAATGTACGGTCCAGAACTCACGACATGGAGGAAAGGGGGAGACTCTTATGGAACAGATCCGTGCCTGACTACGCAAAACTGTGGACGAGTTATGGAGCCGCCTGCTCAGTCTGAACAGGAAGTTGTAGTCCATGAACCGGCACATGCGTTTGAAGAAAGATTAAAAGACAGTGGATTTTAGCCTTGAGCTGACTTTTGTGCAGAAAATGTGCTTTCTGTAGGCCTTGCTGGGAAGGCAGATTCTGCTCAAAGAACAGGGGGGGGGGAACCCCACACTTACGAACAGGAAGTGGCCCATCCGCTTCAGAGTCGGCAGGGACACACACACACACACACACAAGGTGGGAACTTGGAGGGGGGGGGAGGGAGGAGAAAGCTGGAAAGCTCCCACAGGTACTAAATGGGAGGTGGGGGTTGAGCCTTGGGTTTGAAGAATGGGCTTCCTTTGGCCTTTAAGTGGTTTGTCTTATCTGCTCCCGAAGGAATGGGAAAACAGGAAGCATTTCAGCTTCAGTCTTGAGTTAAAGAGTCTCCCCCCCCCCTTGCTGTCTTGGTGTGGGAAAACAGCTGGGGGGGGCAGGAGTCTCCCCCCCCCCCACAGCAGTGTTCTGGGCCTGTCTGGGCTCTCCTTCACGTGTCCAAAGCCCACTCCTCACAAACGGCTGTGTGGCTATGGGGAAGGTGGACTGAGCGCTTATTCAAATCCCAAACGTGGACTGTCTGGCCCTTCACCTTCTCCAGTGAAACCTGCTTCCCACAAGCCGGGCAGCACCAGTACTTGAAGAAAAGGGAAAAGTCACTTGTTTTATGGTCTGCCTTGCATCCCTACGGCGCAGTCTTCCGCCGGCATCGCTTCCCTCTGTGTCTCATCGCAAGCGTGGTGCCGTCTCTCAGGGGTGTGGTGGGGTACTGTGGGCCAAGCTGGGAGCCCAGCCACCCTTGCGTGCTGGTGCCTCTGTGGGGACGCGGCTTCCAGCAGCTCAAACAGCCACTTAGAGGCCAGCTTCTGGAACGCAACCCGTTAGTGAGAGGGGGGCTTGCGGCAGGTGAAAGGAGGCTGGCCATGGGTGTGAGTCCTGGCCCTCCCTCCGGTGTGCCGGGGAAGGGCTCTGGGGGTCGTTTGGGTTTGGGCTTTGTCACGGTGTTCCAGTCTGGGCTCCCTACTGGCTAAAATAGGAAGAACGGGACCCCGCCTATGGCACGGTGGGGGGCGGGGGGGTTCCTGATTGCGCCCTTTGCAGGTCAGAAGGGTGGTCATGCCGCCTCTCTCTCACCCCCCCCCCCGCAGCCCACCACGTCATCTCGGAGGCCAAAGGCCCCTGCTTCCGGGTGCTGCGGGAGGGGGGCTGCTCCCTCCCCATCCTCCGCAACATCACCAAGCAGATCTGCTGCTGCAGCCGCGTGGGCAAGGCCTGGGGGCACGGCTGTGAGGGCTGCCCGCCTTTCGGCTCAGGTGAGGCAAGGCGCGGCGGGGGCTCCTGGCAAGGCGGCACCCTGAGTCTCGACTCCCTCCCTCGACAGATGGATTCAAGGAGATCTGCCCGGCCGGCCCCGGGTACCACTACTCCGCCTCGGACCTCCGCTTTGACACGCGCTTCCTGGGCCAGGACCTGCCCCGTGTGCCCGTCAGCCACCAGCCCGGTGGGCGGGAGCCCGTGGCAAGGCAGCCACCGACGACCACAGCCCCCACCATCCGTACGTCTCCCGGGGCGGGGGGTGGTGGCGGCGAGATGGCACCCTTCCTGGATCCCGCAGTGGCCCGATCCGTCCACTGGTGCCGGATTTGGGGAGGGGCCTCCTCCACCAGCCCGGCCAGACCTTCCTCCCGCCTGGGGGTGGCTCTATTCCTGTGGAGTCCAGCGTGGGAGTGGGGGGGGAGAAGGTGCTGGTGCCAATGATGGGGAGGGGAGATGGTGATGGGGCTGGCACAGCATAAGCCGCCCCCTGCTCCCAGGCGGGACCCTGGGTGCGCGCGGGGGGGGGCACCGGAGAAGGGGCTCTGGCCACAGGGCGGTTTGCCTAGCAGGCGGAAGGAAGCCCTGGCCCCGTCTCCTCACCCTGGCCCCGTCTCCCCTGCAGTGCGCTGGAGCCCGCCCATCACAGTCCTGCCCGAGCGCCAACCCCCTCGGGCAGTGCCCACTCAGTCGCTGGGGCCGGAAGCCGCTGCGCCAGGTAGGGCCGGAGGCGGCAGCCAAGGGAGGGGAAGGGTGGGGAAGGAAGCGAGGGGGGGGGGCTGACCCTGCCTGCCTTCTTCCTGCAGAGGCCGGGCAAGGGGTTTGCGAGCGGCGCCCCCAGGTGTGCGGTCCGGGGCGTTGCATTCCCCGCCAGGGAGGCTACACCTGCGTGTGTGATCGTGGCTACTGGCTGAGCCCCCAGGGCACCCACTGCGTTGGTGAGTGGAGCTGGGTGTAGAGGGGGGGGGCTTGGAGGAGGAGGCGACGGCTGCCCTGTCGTCAGCCAGATGTGCAAGCGAGGGGTGGGTGTGCGGAGGACCCTGGAGAGCCCAGGTGGGGCTCAAAGGAGGAGAGGTCTGGGAGTGTCTCTCGTGGCCGTGTGGTTCTCATCCTAGTGTGGACGGGGAAAGGTGGTCTGCACATGGCCACACACTGTTTCTAAGTTCCACAGCTGTGCTTGGAAACAGTTCTGTTCACCTTTATTGGCATAAAATACTTTTAAAAGAGGCTTGCTATAAAAAAGAATACATATTTAAAACCACATGTAGCCCTACATATAGAGCACAGTGCAGCATACTCATCGGAAGATTTCCTGACGTAGCTTTATCGCTGACTATAAAAGCATGGCTGCATTCATGGATATTTCCGGAACAGAGTCCTTTAGAAGACCGGTGCACTTTTAAAGCATCAGGAAGGTTCGTCATGTTGGCTAAGACAGGATTTCAATTTCTGGAACGTAAAGCCACATAAAATTGACCATGCAAACAGATATGCAAAACAGTTTCAGTGCATCCAGAGTTGCAGCGGCAAAGTCTGTCCACCTATACGATGTCGTTATATCTCCCATGCAAGATTGCTGATGGAGTGACATTGAATCTTGCTAGAGAGAAGGCCCCGCGCTGTTGCGGTGCTTGTATGCCAGGCGGATATGGGGCCATTCGGCCTACCGTGAGGAGCCTCTCAAAGTCCAGGGGGGGAACAAGATTTGTTGGCTAAGCTGTGTGAAGCCTCTGTGTTTCAGTATCGAGGACTCTGCGTTTAATCATCTGGAAAGTGCCCATAAATGGGGAGCATAAACAGTGAGTCGGGTGGGATACCCATGGCGGTTTTCTTCTTCTTCTTCTTCTTCAATGTATGACAGCCAATTAGACATGTTTGACGCTGTGAAACAGAGAGGGGGTTCTGGGGTTAAACGCTGAGGGGGGGCCCTCTCTGACCAGCGTAGCCCCTAGGCTGTGGGGGGGGCTGCCTGTGCCCGTCAGCTGCCGCAGTTGGGGCTTTACTCCCCTCCCCCTTGTGCCCCACCCAGATGTGGACGAGTGCCGGCGGAGCCCCCGCCCTTGTGCCAACGGCTACTGTGAAAACACCCGGGGCAGCTACAGCTGCAGGTGCCGGGCTGGCTACCAGGCCGACCCGTCCGGAACAGAGTGCAGGGGTGAGTCCTGCTGGGGCACGCCGGGGGGGAGGTGATGCACGGGGGCTTGGGCCCCTCCTTCCTTGACCTGGTCCCTTTGCCCCCCCCACCGCAGACATTGACGAGTGTGCGAAAAGCCCCCCGCCCTGTGCCAACGGACACTGCCACAATACCCCCGGCTCCTTCCGCTGCACCTGTCCTCCCGGCTATGACCCGGCTGGCTTGGAGGGCCGAGGTAACCCGGGGGGGGGGGGCGAGATCCGAGCAGCGGGTGGAGAGAGATTGGGGCAAGGGGGGGGCAGGGGTAGGCAGGCGGGGGCGTGGCTCCTTCATGCCACACCCAAGGGCTTCACCGCGGAGCCGCAGAGCATTGCCGCCTCCAGGATGGGCTTTTTGAAGGAGGCAGATGGGTCTGTTGGCGGTGTGTGTGGGGGTGCTGCTGCTGCTGCTGTGGCCAAGTGGAACCTCCATGTCCAGAGGCAGTCTGGGCGATAGTTGTGCCGCTGGGGCCGAGGGCGGTCGTCCTGCTCTGCTTGCAAGCTTCTGCAGCCATGCAAGGGTCGCCACAGGAAACGGGTCGGGGCTGCGTAGACCCGGAGTGGTCCCATCCATGGCGCCCTCTAAGCCGTGGAGTCTTCTCGTGAGCAAAAATCCTACTTGGTGAGCGGCTGGCATTAGAGTTGTGAGGCAGCGTTTTGGGCTGCGGCATAAATTAGTTGGCTCTGGAGCCACATCCTTCCTGAGCTAAAACAAAGGTGTGTGAGCCGGAGACTAAAGAACTGTGAGCTGGCTCACACTCACTCAGCTTAGAGGGAGCACTGGATGGGACCAGTGTTCCCTCTAAGCTGGGTTAGTGTGAGCTAGCTCACAGTTTTTGAACCTCTGGCTCACAACTCTTTGTCCTAGCTCAGGAAGGATGGGGCTCCAGAGCCAACTAATTTATGCTGCAGCCAAATGGCTCTCTCACAACTCTAATGCCAGCCGCTCACAAAGTGGAAGTTTTGCTCACGAGACTCCACGGCTTAGAGGGAGCCTTGGTCCCACCCAGCAGTTCTTTGGGTTCGAGCCAGCGAGGAGCAAGCCCCCCCCCGGCCCGCCCGCCCTGTGCAGGAGGCTGAAGTGGGGCCTGACCCCCGTTTCCGTGCTTGTGAGTCCCTCCCCCCCATTCTTAGGAATTATTTTATCCCAATGTAAATGAGCCCGTTTTTTCTTGAAAGGGGGGGGGGGCAGAAGCCATGGGTGTGTGTGTGTGGTGTGTGGGTGGCTCCGTTCCAGGCAGGCCCCCTGACCGGCCCTCCCTCCCTCTCTTCCCAGACATTGACGAGTGTTCCCAGAGCCCCTCCCCCTGTGCCCGCGGCCGCTGCGAAAACGTTCCGGGCACCTACCGCTGTGGCTGCCCAGCCGGCTACCAGCCTGGCCCCACGGGCACCGAGTGCCTGGGTAAGGGGGGGGGCCCTCCCCCCCCCCCGGTGAGCCTTCTGGAGGAGCTGGCACGACAGCCAGGCTGGGCCTGGAGGCAGCAATAAAGCAGGGTTTGCCTCTGAGCGTGTGCAGAGAGCCTGTCTGCCCACTGCTGCCAGGTGGGGGGGGAGGCGGGGAGGAGGAGACCGCCAAGGCCCTGCTGTGCTTTTGCAGATGTGGATGAGTGCCGGGAGACCCCGTCCATCTGCCACCCGGGCCGCTGTGAGAATGTGCCGGGGGGCCACCGGTGCACCTGCCCCATTGGCTACCAGCCCGGCCCCCTGGGGACCCGTTGTGTGGGTAAGAGTCCCAACACCGGGGGGGGGGAGGCGGGCTGCCGTCCCACCCAGTGGGGATTCCTTTGTGCTCGGAAATTAGGCTGCCCCGCTGGGGTTGGGCCCTTGGGGATGGAGAGTGGCTCTGAAGGGGGGGAGGAGGAGGAGAGTCCCTCCGGGGTCCCGCGCAGCAGCAGCGTTCACGGCCCCCTCTGCTCACCGTTTGGGCCCCTGGAGACATGGGGGGCCTGCAGGCCAGCTGGAGTGTCTTGCGGAGCCCTTCCTCTGTGCCCCCCCTGCAGACGTCGATGAGTGCCAGCAAGAACCCCCCCCCTGCGGCTCTGGGCGCTGTGAGAACGTGCCCGGCGGGTACCGCTGCCTCTGCCCCACGGGATTCCGAGCCAGCCTGACGGAGGAGCAGTGCCTGGGTGAGCGCGCGGGCGGCGGCTTTCGGGGAGGGGAGGGGGCTCCCGAGGGGCTGCCGGGCCTCTCACCTGCCCTTGCGCCCTTGCGCCCTTGCAGACGTCGACGAGTGTGCGACCCGGTCGCCGTGCGGCCCCCACGGGCACTGCACCAATACGGAGGGCTCGTTCCACTGTCAGTGCCGGCGGGGGTACCAGATGGAGGGCACCGAAGGCCCCTGCACGGGTGAGTGCCACAGGGTCGAGGAGGGTCAAAGCTCAGTGGTCAAGGGGGCTTCGGTCGTGCTGGGTCCGGGGGGCCTGGTTCCTGCTTTGGGCACAGGGTGGCTCAGGCGGGTGGGGTGGGCGTTACCCGCATACCAGTGGACTTTGCCGGGCAGCGCACCTACCCTCAGACCCCCCAAGGTCCACGACTGCCGCCCGACAGGCGGAGGAGTCCCAGGAGGACCCCTCGGGGGGCCAGCAGTGCCCCCCCCCTTTCTCGCTTGGTCAGAGTTTGGTGTGTCGAGATCTGCCATGCGAGGGGCGTCTCCTGACGTGGGCTGGGGTCTGTAAGAGCTTCTGCCACAAGAAGTCGGTGAGCCTCCCACCTGCTGCGAGTCTTCGTCAGAGAGTCAGGCCTTGCCGAGAGTAAATTAATATACACGGAGCCTCCACTGGGCGTCTTTTGCGCAAAACACAAAAAAGCAAACCGCCGGTTCTGGATGGGGGGGCTGCAAGTTTCTCAGCCAGCCTGTTAAGAACCTAAGAGAAGCCAGTGTTGGATCAGGCTAATGGCCCATCCGGTCCCACACTCTGTGTCACACAGTGGCCAAAAGTACCAGGGGCCCTCAGGAGGTCCAGCAGTGGGGCCAGGGCACTAGAAGCCCTCCCACTCTTCCCCCCCACTCCCTCCCCCAAGCACCAAGAAGACAGAGCATCCCTTGCCCTAGACTGAGAGTTCCCATCTATACCTTGTGGCTAATAGCCACTGATGGACCTCTGTTCCAGATGTTTACCTAATTCCCTCTTGAGGCCGTCCTTGCTTGTAGCCGCCCCTGCCTCCTGTGGCAGTGAATTCCATGTGTTAATCACTCTCTGGCTGAAGGACTTCCTTTTATCTGTTCTAACCCGACTCCTCAGCGATTTCATGGAGTGCACACTGAACAGGTTTGGACCTGCCTGCCTGGGGGTCAGAAGCGGACTCACAGCCCGATGGGAACCACAGCTGGGAATCGGGCTCTTCTCATCCACCCCAAACCCGCAGCAGAGTGAAGTTGCCAGTGGCGGCTCTTCTCTCTCCGCGGTGCAGGCTGGACAGGGAGGGACAGAAACCGCGCTTTTGGTCTCTGAGCGGCGGAAAGCAGAGTGGGGGGGGGAGCTCCTTTCCCTTTTCTCCCTTCCAAGCGAGGGTTGCCAGGTCTCGGTCGGAAGATACCTGGAGACTTTGGGGGTGGGGCCGGGAGAGGGCGGGGTTTGGGGAGGGGGTGGTGCAGTGCCACACAGAGTCAACCCTTCCCGGCCGCCATCATTTTCTCCAGGGGAGCGGATCTCTGTCATCTGGAGATCAGTTGTAAAAACGGGCAGGGGTCATTTCCTGCGGGAGCGCACAGGAGCGGAGCTCCGGCAGTAAAGAGCCCAGGGGGCGGGCACATGCAACAAGCCCCGCCCCCTGCTCCCAGCAGCCCTCAGTCAGAGCCAGAAGCAGCCAGGTAAGCTGCAGAGCCCCCACTCCCGCCCCTCGGCCCAAAACAGTCCAGTGACACCTTTAAGACCAAGTTTTATTCAGGTACAAGCTCTCCCTCCTCCGCGAGGACAGATCTGCATGTTTCTCTCCTCCTCCCCCCAATAGCTAGCAACTCAAAAGAGTCCAGTGGAGCCTGAGCAGTGGGTGTTTCCTCCTGACACACTTCCGGTGAAGTCAGGGAGTGTGTGGCCTATGCAAATAAGTTATGCTAATGAGCTCCTGCACTTCTTTTTCTACAAAATGACCCCTGAAAACGGGAGATCTCCAGGCCCCACCTGGAGGCTGGCCGCTCTATTCCAAGCTGAGCAGGGGGACGGGAGCGGTGCTTTTGACCTCTGCGTTGCAAAGGGGAGGGGGGAGAGCACTTGTGGGAACCCGGCAGCAAAAGGCATCTGATCTCCAGCGCCCACCCTCTTTCCCCTCCCCACCCGCAGATGTGAACGAGTGCCTGGAGGGGGACTTCTGCTTCCCGCGGGGGGAGTGCCTGAACACGGAGGGCTCCTACACCTGCCTGTGTGCCCAGGGCTTTGCCACTGGCCCGGGCGGGGCCTCCTGCGTGGGTAAGGTGTGGGGCCAGCCCCTGGGGACCCGGTGGGGCCGGGAGGGCGGGGATCCAGAGCCCCAGAGGGGCTGCTCCTGGAGACTCCTCTGGGCATCTTTCCGCCTCCGCGCCTCATGGCTGCCCCACCCCTCGCCCACAGACATCGATGAATGCCAGAGCAGTGCCGTGTGTGCTGGTGGGCGGTGTGCCAACACGGAGGGCTCCTTCAGTTGCTACTGCCCGCCAGGCGCCCGGAGCAGCCCCAACAAGGCCTCCTGTGACGGTGAGAAGCCGGGGGGGGAGGGAGGGAGGGAGGGTTGTGGGGGCCAGCCATTTGGGGAAGGGGCCCTTTGGGCTACGGGGGGCCTGGAATGGCTCGGTCCTGATCAGGACGCGTGCCAAACTTCGGGAGTGTCTCTCCACGCCTGGGGTTGGGTCCCCTCTGAGGCAGCCCCCTCTGGGGGTTCGAGCCGGCCCCCCTCTTTGCAGACCCTGCAGTTGCCTCGGTCTCGACTGTTCGCACGAGACCCGGGGCTTCTTCGGCTGTTTTCTCCCCGCTTGGCAGAGGGGGCCCCTGCGCACGAGGGGGCCCCTGACAAGCCCAGCGGCCGCTCCTTCCTGCTTTGGGAGGAGGCTGCCATCCTGCCAGGCTGTAGCTTGCCTCCCCCCCTTCTTCTCCCCCCCCCCAGATATTGACGAGTGCCAGGAGTACGGGGCGGCCCTCTGTGGGGCCCAGCGCTGCGAGAACTCTCCCGGCTCCTACCGCTGCGTGGCCGAGTGCCAGGGGGGCTACCGAGTCAGCCCCAGCGGGGACTGCGTGGGTGAGCGTGAAGCCCCGAGGGGGACCAACGGGGGGGCTGGCTGGCTGGCCGGCTTCCAGGGATGCTGCAGCTGACCTCTTGGGTGGGCCTGGGCCCCTTCTGAAGAAGAGGAGGAGATTGGATTCATACCCCGTGCCCTTCACTCGGAGTCTCAGAGCAGCTTACAATCTCTTTTCCCTCCCCCACCCCACCCCTCCCCCACCCCACAACAGACACCCCCTGTGAGGCGGGTGGGGCTGAGAGAGCTCTCTTGAGGACTGCCCTTGAGAGAACAGCTCTGAGAGAACTTGTGACCGACCCAAGGTCACCCACCTGGCTGCATGTGGAGGAGGAGGAGTGGAGAATCAAACCCTGTTCTCCCAGATTAGAATCCCCGCACTTCACCACTGCACCAGACTGGCACACGGGGGTCTCACTAACTGCCCCCAGTGCCGAGGCGGGCCTTGGCCGTCCTTCTGGGCCCGGGCAGAGGTCTCCAAGCCAGAGTTGGGATGGGGAACCCTTTGGAAGAGAAGTCTTGGGGTCCCCCTGGAAAGACCCCCCCAGCCCCCACTGCTCTCCTTGCAGACATTGATGAGTGCCAGTCGTACGGGGCCCGGCTGTGCGGGGAGAAGCGCTGTGAGAACACCCCGGGGTCCTACCAGTGTGTGGCCAGCTGTCAGTCGGGATACGAAGCCACGGCCGCCGGGGGTGGGGGGGTTGGGGGGGGGGGGGTTGTTTGGGCTGAGGAGGGGGGAGCAAGAGATGGCCCCCGGGGGGGCCGCTTGGGTGGGCAGGGGCTCGACCTCGCTCCTTTGCCCTGCAGACCTGGACGAGTGCCGGAATGTCTCGCTGTGCGGCGCCCACGCCGTCTGCCACAACCTGCCCGGCTCCTTCCAGTGCATCTGTGACCAAGGCTACGAAAGCGCCCGGGACGGCCACCATTGCTTGGGTAGGTGGGGGCTGGGGGAGCGCGGGGAGGGCCCCCTGGCTGGGTCAGGCGTCACGTGGAGTGGGCGGGGGGGGGGGTGGCGGAC